GGTAGCGGCGAAAACAGCCCGATTCTTGCCCGCCACCTACAAAAATCGCACGGTTTTTGGCCGATAGCGGCGAAAATCGCGCAATTTTTGGCCGCCAGCGGCGAAATTCTCACGATTTTTGGCCGCTAGGGGCGAAATTCTCACGATTTTTGGCCGCTAGCGGCAAAATTCGCACGATTTTTGGCCGCTAGTGGCGAAATTCGCACGATTTTTGGCCGCTAGTGGCGAAATTCGCACGATTTTTGGCCGCTAGCGGCGAAAATCGATAGATTTTCGATAAAGGCCAAAAAATGCGCGATTTTCGCCGCTAGCGGCCAAAATTTGCGCGATTTTCGCCGCTAGCGGTCAAAAATCGGGCGATTTTCGCCGCTAGTGGCCAAAAACCAAGCTAATTTTGCCGTTAGGGGGCAAAATTCGCGAGATATTTGCCGCTAGCGGCGAAAATTGCGCTATTTTCGCACGCTAGCGTTTTTTGCGCATTTTCGAAAATTGCGCACGGTTTTTGGCCGCTATCAGCGAAAATCGCACGGTTTTTGGCCGCTAGCGGGTAAAATCGCGCGATTTTCGCCGCTAGCGGCCAAAAATCGCGGGATTTTCGCCGGTAGCGGGCAAAAATCGGGCGAATTTCGCCACTGGAGGACAAAAATCGGGCGATTTTCGCTGCTAGCGGCCAAAAACCGTGCGATTTTCGCCGCTAGCGGCCAATAATCGCGCGATTTTCGCCGCTAGCGGCGAAAATCGGCCGATTTTTTATATCCAGCGGCGAAATTCGCCCGATTTTTGCCCGCTACCGGCGAAAATCCCACGATTTTTGGCCGCTAGCAGCGATAATCGCTCTGTTTTTGCCGCTAACGGCCAAAAACCGCGCGATTTTCGCTGCTAGCGGCCAAAAACCGTGCGATTTTCGCCGCTAGCGGCCAATAATCGCGCGATTTTCGCCGCTAGCGGCGAAAATCGGCCGATTTTTTATATCCAGCGGCGAAATTCGCCCGATTTTTGCCCGCTACCGGCGAAAATCCCACGATTTTTGGCCGCTAGCAGCGATAATCGCTCTGTTTTTGCCGCTAACGGCCAAAAACCGCGCGATTTTCGCTGCTAGCGGCCAAAAACCGTGCGATTTTCGCCGCTAGCGGCCAATAATCGCGCGATTTTCGCCGCTAGCGGCGAAAATCGGCCGATTTTTTATATCCAGCGGCGAAATTCGCCCGATTTTTGCCCGCTACCGGCGAAAATCCCACGATTTTTGGCCGCTAGCAGCGATAATCGCTCTGTTTTTGCCGCTAACGGCCAAAAACCGCGCGATTTTCGCTGCTAGCGGCCAAAAACCGTGCGATTTTCGCGGCTAGCGGTCAATAATCGCGCAATTTTCGCCGGTAGCGGGCAAAAATTTGGTGAATTTCGCCGCTGGATGTCCAAAATCGGACGATTTTCGCCGCTAGCAGCAAAAATCGCCTTATTTTTGGTAGCTAGCAGCGAAAATCGCGCGATTTTTAGCCGGTAGCGGCGAAAATCGCGCGATTTTTGGCCGGTAGCTGCGAAAAAAGCTCGATTTTTGCCCGCTACCTGCAAAAATCGCGCAATTTTTGGCCGCTAGCGGCGAAATTCGCACGATTTTTGGCCGCTAGTGGCGAAATTTGCACGATTTTTGGCCGCTAGCGGCGAAAATCGACCGATTTTCGCAGGTAAAGGCCAAAAAATGCGCGATTTTCGCCGCTAGCGGCCAAAAACCGTGCGATTTTCGCGGCTAGCGGCCAATAATCGCGCGATTTTCGCCGGTAGCGAGCAAAAATTTGGTGAATTTCGCCGCTGGATGTCCAAAATCGGCCGATTTTCGCCGCTAGCAGCAAAAATCGCCTTATTTTTTATAGCTAGCGGCGAAAATCGCGCGGTTTTTTGCCGCTAGCTGCGAAAATCGCGCGATTTTTGCCAGCCAGCTGCAAAAATCGCCCGATTTTTGGACGCTAGCGGCCAAAATCGCTCGGTTTTTGCCGCTAACGGCCAAAAACCGTGCGATTTTCGCCGCTAGCGGCCAAAAATCGCGCTATTTTCGCTGGTAGCGGGCAAAAATCGGGTGAATTTCGGCGCTGGAGGGCAAAAATCGGGCGATTTTCGCCGCTAGCAGCGAAAATCGCGCGGTTTTCGCTGCTAGCGGCCAAAAACCGTGCGATTTTCGCCGGTAGCGGCGAAATTTTCGCGATTTTTGGCCGGTTGCGGCGAAATTTTCGCGATTTTTGGCCGGTAGCGGCGAAATTTTCACGATTTTTGGCCGCTAGCGGCGAAAATCGACCGATTTTAGCCACTAGCGGCCAAAAATGGCGCGATATTCGCCGCTAGCGGACAAACATCGGGCGATTTTCGCCGCTAGCGGAAAAAATCGCTAGATTTTTTGCCCGGTAGTGGCGAAAATCGCCCGATTTTTGGACACTAGCAGCGAAAATCACGCAATTTTTGGCCGCTACCTGCGAAAATCCCGCGATTTTTGGCAGCTAGCGGCGAAATTCGCACGATTTTGGGCCCCTAGCGGCGAAATTCGCGCGATTTTGGGCCGCTAGCGGCGAAATTCGCACGATTGTTGGCCGCTAACAGCGAAATTCGCCCGATTATTGCTCGCTACCGGCGAAAATCGCCCGATTTTGGGCCGCTAGCGGCGAAAATCGGTACATTTTTGCCGCTAGCGGCCAAAAACCGCGCGATTTTCGCTGCTAGCGGCCAAAAACCGCGCGATTTTTGCCATTAGCGGGCAAAAACCGGGCGATCTTCGCCGCTAGCGGGAAAAATCGCCCGATTTTTGGCCGCTACCGCTGAAAATCGCGCGGTTTTTTGCCGCTAGCGGCGAAAATCGACCGATTTTCGCAGGTAAAGGCCAAAAAATGCGCGATTTTCGCCGCTAGCGGCCAAAATTTGCGCGATTTTCGCCGCTAGCGTCCAAAAATCGGGCGATTTTAGCCGCTAGTGGCCAAAAACCGAGCTAATTTTGCTGTTAGGGGGCAAAATTCGCGAGATTTTTGCCGCTACCGGCGAAAATTGCGCGATTTTCGAAAATCGCATGGTTTTTGGCCGCTATCAACGAAAATCGCACGGTTTTTGGCCGCTAGCAGCCAAAAACCGATTTCCGCCGGTAGCGGGCTACCGATTTTCGCTGGTAGCTTGCAAAAATCGGGCGAATTTCGCTGCTAGAGGGCAAAAATCGGGCGATTTTCGCCGCTAGCGGCCAATAATCGCGCGATTTTCGCCGGTAGCGGCGAAAATCGGCCGATTTTTGACATCCAGCGGCGAAATTCGCCCGATTTTTGCCCGCTACCGGCCAAAATCGCGCGATTATTGGCCGCTAGCCGCGAAAATCGCTCGGTTTTTGCCGCTAACGGCCAAAAACCGCGCGATTTTCGCTGCTAGCGGCCAAAAACCGTGCGATTTTCGCGGCTAGCGGCCAATAATCGCGCGATTTTCGTCGATAGCGGGCAAAAATTTGGTGACTTTCGCCGCTGGATGTCCAAAATCGGCCGATTTTCGCCGCTAGCAGCAAAAATCGCCTTATTTTTGGTATCTAGCGGCGAAAATCGCGCGATTTTTGCCAGCCAGCTGCAAAAATCGCACGGTTTTTGGCCGGTTGCGGCGAAAATCCCCCGATTTTTGGACGCTAGCGGCGAAATTCGCTCGTTTTTGCCGCTAACGGCCAAAAACTGCGCGATTTTCGCTGCTAGCGGCCAAAAACCGTGCGATTTTCGCCGCTTGCGGCAAAAAATCGCGCTATTTTAGCTGGTAGCGGACAAAAATCGGGTGAATTTCGGCGCTGGAGGGCAAAAATCGGGTGAATTTCGCTGCTGGAGGGCAAAAATCGGGCGATTTTCGCCGCTAGCAGCAAAAATCGCCAGATTTTTGGCCGCTAGCAGTGAAAATCGCGCGGTTTTCGCTGCTAGCGGCCAAAAACCGTGATATTTTCGCCGGTAGCGGGAAAAAAATCTAGCAAATTTCGCTGCTGGAGGGCAAAAATCAGGCGATTTTTGGCCGCTAGCGGCGAAAATCGCGAAGTTTTTGGCGGCTAGCGGCGAAAATCGCGCGATTTTTGGCCGCTAGCGGCGAAATTTTCACGATTTTTGGCCGCTAGCGGCGAAAATCGACCGATTTTAGCCACTAGCGGCCAAAAATGGCGCGATTTTCGCCGCTAGCGGTAATAATCGCCCGATTTTTGGCCGCTACCGCTGAAAATCGCGCGGTTTTTTGCCGCTAGCTGCGAAAATCGCGCGGTTTTTGGCCGGTAGCGGCGAAAATAGCCCGATTTTTGCCCAGAACTGGGGGCCCAGTTCTGGCCGTGGTCCCGGTAGGCCTAAGAACTCCATACACATGACTGATGCCATAGTTTGACATTAGCATATCAGCCTGGGATAGCTCCGGGGAGCCAACAAGGGTCCCCCCCAGACAAAACAAATACATTGTATATTTCCTGTAAACTATACCATTTTGGTGGGCATACTTGTGACAATAATATGTGAGTGCATAGCGAGTTTATACCAGTTATATTATAATACAACGTCAAGTGACAATAATTGGAACAATACTAGCAAAAAAATTATTGTAAAATGTGCCATAGATACTGCAAATAATGCCGCGGAAATAAATTCGCGGCAACTTGGGCCTCTTGAGCCGCTGTGAGTGACAGCTCCCTGATGCAGCACCCTTGAGCGCTCACTCTCTCTGACATCATCGGCGAACTTATCGGCTCAATTACGTCATTGGTAAGTACAATAGAATTTTTTTATTTTTCCTGTGCTCAGGGGACACAAATTAACATTTTTAGAAGACGAAACAAATTTTTAAAAAATTTCTTGCGCACAAGGGGTGTAAATGTCCTTAGGACCCCTTAGCAGTTTAAGGGTTAAAACACTTAACATCTTAAATTAAAATGGAGATCTAATAAAAAAATTGTATTTTGTTAGAAACTAATTTAGTTGAAGCATTTCCTGATGTTGCTCTCCTAAATAAACAAACTAAACCTGTCTTACCTTACTGTTCCTCAGTAATGCTCTGGTAAGACAGATGAGTTGTCGTTCTCCTACTGAGAAATTTTCCCCTGCAGCTTCCACCTTGGACAAGAGAGCATGTTCTTGACGTTGAACTAAACTTTTCAAGTGTGATCGCTCCAATGCCTGCCATACTGCATCATCCGAGTGCTCTTCAAAAGGGTCCAAATTATACCTGTAAAATAATTATGATAAACAATTGAAAAACAAGTTTTTACTAGAATAAAATTGGCAGTATGGGGAAGATAGTCACACTCTACAACAATATCCTGTCAACTTTACTATGTGCTTGGAAAGACACCTTACACAGCTTGAAAGAAATGTCTCAATTTATTATGTCATTTCCGAGATGTACTGATAGGAATACTGCTACCAGTAATTTGTACAAGTTTATTAACAAGACAAAATAAATATAAATGTCAAAGAATGCCATGTACCTGATTGATCCTTGGAAGAGCACTGGGTCTTGTGGAATGACAGAAATGCAGCAACGTAGTGTATGGAGACCAAGAGTGCTAATATCTACTCCATCGATAATCACGCTACCAGAATCCAGCTCAGCCATACGTAGTAAAGTAGAAATAAGAGAAGACTTTCCTTAATGGAGAAATAATTTACAGCATTAGAAAATGTTATAACAATATGGCAAAATTCAATATGTTGTTACTTGACAAAAAATACAACTACAATAATTGTTCCAAATATCTCATGTACTGCAATTAACTGCATAATGATATCATAAATATTGTTTACATTTTAAAACTTCAAAAATTTATTATTTATATGTTGTAAAGCTGTAAATAACTTTCAATGAATGTGTGTGTAGTCCAAACAATGAGGTACATCTCAAAATTCAAGATAACAGGGAAGAGGGAAAATATTAGGATGTTTATCTACCAATGTGAAAAAAGCCTTTTTACTATCCATTTCTTTCACATTATTTTTATCAGTACTGTACTGTATTTAATCACCGAGACTGAACATTAACCATTCTGTCTACGTAATATGGCTCAAATATAACAGCACTTGTTTCATAGAAATCATGAGGCTCACTGTACACACGAGGTGTCGTAAGTCTAGACATATCACTCCTGACAACATTTGCAGTGACTATAAACCAAATACCTGGGCTACATTTGTGAATCAGTCATAATGGTGGATATATTGTGTACATTCTGTGTACAAAAAATAATAAAATGAAATACAAAATGAAAGCCATTTTCATCATTTTGTACTAGGTTTCAAACTTACATAATAATACACTGTACTGTACATAATTACAAAATAACTGCTACCAACCCATCCAAGATGAAAAGAAAAACTATGCATATTTTATATATACAGTGGGGCCTTGACTTACAATGGTAATCCGTTCCCAGAGACGTATTGCAAGTCAAAATATTGCAAGTCAAAGCGATTTTTCCCATATGAAATAAAGGGAATTGAATTAGTCTGTTTCCCACCCTCCACAATATTAACTTACAAATACCTTTTATACTGAATACAATTTTTTTCTCTAACTACAATACAGTACATATGTTTATCTTACCTTTATGGAGGACTCTTGATGGCGTATGGAATTAAGATGGTGATAAGGGGGGGAAGAGAGTTGTTACCGTTTGGAAGAGGAGTCCCCTTCCATTATAACTTTAGGCAGTGATGACTTTTCTGGGATACACACTCTGGCATGTTTTGCCTGCATACCACTAGGACCTGCTTGTGGCCCACTGCTTGCTTATCTTACTAAGAATCTGTCTAAAGACACTTGTTTTTCCCTACATTTTAACACTTGTCTGTAGTAAGACATCACATTGTCATTTAAAGGTCAATGCAATGGCCTGCTACAGCTTTATCTGGGTGAGTTTTTTCAACAAAACTTTGCAGTTCTTCCCATACTTAAAACATTTTCTTAATGAGGAGGGACATCCTCTACTGCCTCTACTCACAATTATTTTCTTAGGTTGAACCTTACCACTGACTTTCTTGGGACCCATGGCATGATATAATAATCAGTTTTATATTCAAAAAGCAAAAAATCACCACAAAACGGATTTTCTTATAGGCGTGATCGTCACTAAATGATCACTAAATGATCACGTCACTAAAAATCGTCACTAGTAAACTGAGGCATGTCGGCCCGCGTGACCAGGAACCACGAGCTTGGTCGACCCAAACGTTTACCAACAAATATGATAGTGTTGTTAACTATCGATAAGTCAAGTCGCATTTTTCGATCAGATTTACATCATAACTCGAAATTATCGCAAGTCAGGGCAATCTTAAGTCAAGGTGCCACTGTATACTAGTTCTGTACTATACTGTACTGTAGTTTATCAGCAGTATCTTATGTAAGAAATTAATCCTAATTAGATATAAAAAGTGCTGTTAACAAAAAATTACAAACCTGCTCCAGTTCGTCCAACAATGCCAATTTTCTCTCCGTCTTTGATTGAGGCATTAATACCATGAAGCACTAGCGGAAGATCGGGCCTGTATCGAAGCTTAACATCCTTTAGCTCAATACTGCCCTTGGACGGCCAACCAGAAGGTGGCTGGGACGAGGGTATTTCTCTTGGGGCTTCACTGGGAAGTTCCTAAAAGCATTATATAAATTAATCTTTTACTCCTCTGCTCCAAAAGTGCAATTTTTACGAGTAAGGAATGGCTTACTTTTCAAACAAAAATTATAACAAGAATTTTCCAAAGACTAAATGATACTACAATATCATTTAGTTACTTTAGTTACTAGTTATGAGGAGCTTTCTTGAAATGAACACTTGGTTCTTTTGTAACCAAGACTTAATAGTCCAATGAGCAAATAATGCACAGCCAAAACAACTAATCTCTACCAACACAGTTTCTTTTCAAATGATCCTTTCAAGCATAAAACTGGAGAATACTTATTCCAAATTTTAAGTGCTATAACACTTTTAGCTGCAAACAAATAACATGCACATGATAAAATATAGTGAAAACAATGCTTACATATGCATATTCTATGATACGCTCCACCGAAGTTATGCGAGACTGGAACTCTGACTTCATCCTCATCAAGAAGGGAATGAACACACACACCTGAAAATAAAGGCCATGCTTTTTTCCTTATTTTTTTTAATTTTCACGTTTAATTTTGTAATTATGGCAATCTATCTTTTTCAGACTTTACACTGAATGAAGAAGTAGTCTTAAAAACACAAGAACAGGGAGAAAAACAATACCAGGTAGTCTTTCTGTGAATGAAGGAGATAAAATAGACAACAGATATTTTTTTCTACTTACACCATTAACTGTTGACAAGGCGAGACCTGCAAGTGCAGTACTAACAATGCCTTTGGTGAAGACACATATGATGGTGACTGCAAGGGTGACACACACTGCCATAAAATCCATTCGATAGGTGAACCAGCGATTTGACAGCCGGAACACCAACAGAGCAGACGAATGCTTGTCAAGTTTGTTGTACATCCTACAAAACACGAAGCAAAGAATTGCGATCAATTTGTACTTCTCTTTGTATATTTACAGTATAGATTCATTGTTAGTTATTCTAAGCATTTAAAGCATAAGAAATAAATACTAGTAACATTTAATAATACCATAAATATTTTTCTTCATAGTGAATGTTTTAGTGTAATATAAACTACTTTTTAAATTATAGTAATGAAGGAAAATTAAATCAATACTAACTTTAAAAGTCAATATACATGAACTATTTTATACACAAACGACCCACATCTCAGGCCAACCCACGGTGGACAGGCCACCAATCAATCAAGTCTCCTCTCTCCACACCCAAATCCTTTTCCAGAATTTCACCTCCCCATCCCTCTTCCTCCCTCATCTTTTCCAAGCTTTTTGAACATCAAATCCAGTATGGCCAAATTAAATATTGTCTTTTTAAGAACAAATTTGCAGTATTACACTGAAATAGGAAACAGCTGGTAAGGTGACGATAGGTTCACCCGTTAAAGAAAATTATTTTTGTTTGCATGCTGTTCGCATTCTATGGCATACATATACTTTATACAGCTCGGTTGAAGCAGCCCTCCCCCTACTGTTATTTTTTACGAGATAATTAAAACTACAACTATCTTGTATAACCAAATACATTACTGTACTGCAATTGTATTTCACAACTTAGATTATAGTTACAAGATCAATTTACCTGTTGATAAACAGCTTCTCCTTATCAAAGGTACGAATGACAGAAAGACCAGAGATGGATGAGCCTATGTGTTGGGTAACAGGCGACTTTAAGGTATTGTCCAAACGCTTCAGTTCACGCACACCAGCATTGAGAAATACGTCAACAGCAATAAACAAAACTGTAGGAATGAATAACCAATGTGAATAGCAAAGACTAGTATAACAGGAGTCACCACACAAAATTATACATGCAGCTGTAATCCAGCAATGAAATTCAACAAATTTGTATCCATGTACATCATATTCATTTTGAGTCAAATGACTAATAAAGTTATAATAAAGTTAGGTACAGGAGACTTACTCCAGAAAATCCCCACACAAACCAACCTGCAACCAGGAGAAGCGGAATGATAAACCAAACGTAGATGAAGCACACCAGGATAATCTGCCCAATGACAAACAAAAGTCCTTGCAGCAGGAACTCCAAGAAAAATGGGACACGCACATCCACTATTCAATGAGAAGATCAATACAACATTCAATTACGTTAATACACAAACCATTACATATTATAACTGTACCCTAAGGTACAAAACATGCAAAAATAATCAAATATATTTACATCATTGATTGATCCTTTGTAATTATAATGAAGGAAACAATTTTCAGATTAAACAGTAACCATTTCATGTAACCATTTTTACATTAATAATAAACTTGGTTTGTAAACACATCAGATATTAAATGTGTTGAAAAATGCAGTTTATTAAGCTTGAATCATTTTATGCATATTATAAAGCTTTATTTGGCAATCAATGTGTTTACAGATATTACAGAACTAAATACAATTAAAAATAACTATTGTATATTTATCTTCACTCACATTCGTCAAGATCTCGAGAGAATCGGTTCAGAATTCGGCCAGTTGGGGTAGTGTCGAAGAAACTCATAGGTGCACGAAGGATACTAATAAACATCGCTTGATGCAATTTTGAAGCACCTGCCAGAACTCTGAAATACATAGATATTATTATTAATAGAAAATGTAACTAAATAACTGTAAAAATCTGACTACCCCAAAACACTAATTTTGCAAGTGTTTATTTCTAGACTTAAAATTTGAAAAATTCATCATGATTCTAATTTTCTTTTTTAATGCATCATATTTAGCAGGCACTATACATCAAAATCTAATAAATTAATACAACTAGTTCCAGTTATAACGTTTGTAAGTTGTAACACCAATATATTTCATATCTGAAAACTTTTTACATTTTGGCTTTATGATAAATGATTTAACATATAGTATGATTAAACTTTATAAGCAATTTATAATGCAATTGTGATTTCCCACAATGATATACAGTACTTAAGCAAGGCATTTATCCTCATTCATGTTACTGGAGAAGCAAATAATGAAACGATTGCATAATAATTACCATCAACTTATAACTTATCCCTAATTGCTTTCATTATCCCACCTTACTTTTTACTACCATATTTTACCCACTTATGGAGTGCAATCAGTACTTGTGCAGAAGGAATGGAACACTGAGAAAAATCTCTGGAGCAAGGCGATGGAATTGGACAACGGTTATGCCAAATGCGCACACCCACCAGACCTTTACCTTGCTCCAGAGATTTTCTCATAATACATGATGATATAGTGTTTTCATAGTGTAATGGAACACTACTGTAAATACAAGTGATTTAAAAGCATTAACTGAAACCCAACCTTCCCTACCAGATTAACACCTTCAAATTTCAGATCAAGCCATACAAGACAAGAGGCAGATCTGTGAATAATCCAGATTTCCAATTAATTGCTCTTTTTTTTTTTAATCTAAACAATTTTCTGGATTTTTCTTATAGCAAATAATTTATATTGCAATAGCCCATCATTAATATAAAAGGTCAGCAGGTTCACAATATTTATTGTATGTACAAAATATGGAGTATGTGAGACAGTAACACTGCAGACTTATACGTAACACTATGCTTAAACCCCAATACAGTACTATATATAAAATTAATTTATAATAATCCTATAAGTCTGAAAACAAAAATGTGACATACAATAGTCAGATTCCTCTACTTAGCCACTGTATGAAAAAATGTCACTGTACTAAAAATAACTGCCAGCAAGACTTGAATTTGAACTTAATACATTGCAGGAATATTTTACTGCAACGATCTACTGGTCTAAAAAGAATCCTGCACCTGATATGCATAAATTATCAATACAAGTAATGCATATTCCTTTGGATAAGAATATTTTAAGAGTACCACTATCAACAATATACATTTCTTAGACACCAAACCCAAAAGATCTGAAAATAAATGAAGCGACGCTTCCTTTATTTTCGCATGTGTGGGTTAGGTGGCTAATTTTCAGCTACAATAATGCGACTGCATACATTTCTCCATACCTGAAAGTAACGCCAATGCCTTTGAAAATTCCCGTGATGAGAAGCAACACAAAACTCATGCCGTACACCAGCTGGTACATCCACAACATTTCATTCTGTGTAATGTCACCCTTAATCTCTTCCTCTGATAATGTTAGGTTGTATTTGGTTTGATTTTCCCTTCGTTCCTTTACCATGCCATCACCCTAACAACACGGTAATACAGTACAGAAATGAATACCTGTTTCAATATTTTGAATGATTGTTAAGGTTTATCAAGCTGCAACATGTACTGTAACAGCCCTCAAAATACCAAGATTTCTCTTCCCTTTACGTAAGGTATAATACATAATTTTTAATGAACGTACAGTATACATATTTCAGTTTTTATAGCACTAAATATTTGGATAATTTATTTTCATTACTTTACCTGATCAAGCCAATATTGAAGCCAAATTGCATTAAACATTCTTGTCAGAGTAAAGATGATGATGGCAAAGAGGATAATATTTGTAATACACCATCCTCCGCTGGCCTGTTGAAATAAGGACATTAATAAAAGATGAAACCTTAATTCTCTTTCAATATGCAACACCAAGTGGAGAGACTGATCACCAAATAAGCTTGTTTCCATTTTTGTCTAGCATGTAACCAACCCAGATTTTCTAACAGTCTCACGAGTTTGCATCATAAATAAAATTGAAAATAACCTAAGGCAATATAAGCATGTTTGAAAATGACGTAGGAGGCTTACGAGAAAGGTCAACCAGATACTGTACTACTAAGCCCCCTCCCCCCAATAAAAATCACTAGTCAATAGTCAATCAAATAAAACCAGCGTTGAATGTAATGAAACACCATTTTCTGGGCGAGTCCCAGAGGCTCCCCAGAGCTATCGATATCAGCCTCGATAGCTCCAGGAAGCTCCCCCCCAGAAAAAATGACATTTTCTTTATTAGACTAAGAAAAGAAGGAAATGTCATAAAAAGCAACAGGAAGGTAGAGACTAGTGCTAGTAGAACAGTATAAACCCTTATCAATGATGTGATAGAGTAATTAAGGAGGCACAGACGCACCAGAAAGAAATAGATGTAAGAATAATAGAACCAGATCCTATTTCATCGAGGATGTTGAAAGTAAGAAGGATACTATGATGCCCAACCCTTTGACTCCAAGAAAACTGGGAGACTGCCAGCATGGTTCCCATATGTATACTAAAAATAAGACAAGGTGATTATAAGTTTTAAAATATTAGCAAAAGACAATCGGAGAGAAGAGGTTGGCAACGCACGGGATAATGATGGGTGGATTACATCTTTTTAGATTGCCAAAAGGTCTTTGTTACCGTCCTCCAAAAGTCTGATCCATAGGTTAGAAAAGCAGACTTTGAAAACTGGTGGGAACATACTGTAGTGGATTAAAGAGTTGTAATGAAAGTCTTTGAAGCACCAAGCAAGATCCTGCTGGCCACTGCATTTAAACTAATACCGTTTCTGATTTATGAAAATGGTCTTCGGAAGAGGTAGGATCATATACATCATGTTCGTAGAACACTAAATTGCGGAGAAGAATAAGAACTGAAGAGGACTAAACATTGATCAAGACCTAAAAAGGCTGACAGCAACCAGACCTGTTTAGCTAAATAAAACCTAAACAGGAACCCATGCACAAATGACGAAGTTTATTAAAAAAAAAAAAAGGTAATGTAATGAGGTTGATGCAGCAAATTATGCAACTCTAACACTTGCTTGGTATTCTTAATAAAAATTTTAATTGCCCCAAAAATTCCACTCTTATACGAATCTCTACATGATTTAACAGTCCTTACAATTCGTAAGAAATGTCTGTACTCTTCATCAATACAATCTTGTGAGGTCCAATGCTATGTTTGCAACACTCAGTTCATTTCAATGTCTTCTGCATTTTCATTATTTCTGTAACTTGTCAATTATTTTTAGCATTCATTCCTCTAACATTTCAACACTTGTAAAATGTATATCTAATAACACTACTAAACTATTTTCAAAGATTTCATAATTTTAATGAATTTTCATAATTCCCACGATGGAAAACAAAATTAAAAAATGTTTTACATTATCAAAAATTTATGACAACTTCAATTTATTCATATAAATAGCAAGATATTTTACATGCCAAGTTTCGTTGCATGTTAACAAGTCTTGCACACTTTTTGTACATTCTAGTTTCTAAATCTGAATAACAATCTTGAGATATGAATTTTAAGATGTTGCTAGTTAAATTAATAATTTCACTCTACAGTAAGAAATTAATGTACAAAAGAGCAATACAATTTAATAACTGCAAGTTTATTTTAACTACCTATTTAAAACAAGAAAACAACAATGGGTTAAATAACAATTCAGATAAACCTTAACGCTAACAAATTAGTGGCAGAATACCTACTAAATTATTATACGGTACATACAGAAATGCACGGCCTTACCTTGATGAAAGTTAAATAGACTTTTGTACTGACACTTCCAGATTCTCTGGTCTCCTCGGTGATGAGTTTACCATCTCTTGCGCTTCCCTCTTTATCATCCTCCTTCTCATCTACGGAACAAGAGGTTACATGTAACATTTAACGTTCTCATTATTACATTTAAAATTTAACATCTACGACTTTATAAACATGCAAGAAATTATGCAAGAATTTGATGCAGGAAATTGCATCCAACAAGTCTGAATGATTGTTTTATTTATTTATATACATATATACACAAGAAGTTACATTGGGTTTATGAGAGTACATAGCATTGATGTTTTTACATTCTTGTAAAGCCAATAACATGCATAGTGTGTTATATTTCTGTAAGCACTAATTAATAGATTTAAAAATTCCGAGGAAACCCGTAAATTTTAATACATGGTCATTCATGCATATTGATTATTCTACTACATACTGTCATATTCTTCTACTGACGTTCTCCCCACTTGGAGAGAACTTCTAATACCTTTTTAGTCAAAATTTGTTAACTTACAATTTCTCGTCTCCCTCTTGATGATTATCCCGCACATTTGATGGTGCTACATAGCCCTCCCGCCTTGGTGCCTTCTTTTGATAATTACTTTATCTCCCTCTTCCATTTTTGCTGAATAAAGTTCACAAATAGACTACATACATTTCCTGCCAGTGAATCTATCAAATTACTGAGCATGCTCTTAACTGTAACTCACTCTCTACAGCACACAAGCTTTGTTATTGTTAGGTATTCATTCTTGGAATCTTTCCTTACAAAAACTGGCAACTTACAGCACAGCCACTTATACTTGTATACCAATATAATCTTAAGTAATAAATCTGGATTTGCAAGGTCAATCTATATGAACTCCACAGATGGTTGAAAGAACAGCAACTGCTTTCCAAATATTAACAAGTGCAAGGCCTTGCATGTAGGGCATAACATTAACCATCACAACTACCATAACACAAACAAGAAGCATGTTGATATCTTAGTAGTTATAATCTACCATAGAAAGTTGTTGAGGAAGAGCTGCATTACAAAATTAAGCCCAACCTTGGGAATAATCCAACAATTCTTTGAAATTTAAGAAAATAAAGTGGTTATTCAGCTGTATAAATCTATAGTGCTCCCTATCTGGACTACTTTATCCCAGCATGGAAATGTCACTTTCAAATGGACATAACTGATTAAGAAAAAGTACCGTGCAGAACAACCAATATTGCAGAACAATGTTAACTCCAATGCCAAGAAAGGTTGCGGGCCACATGACTAGCACCACAACAAACCAAACATGACAGAATTGATCTCATCGAGACCTTTAAAATTTTAAACAAATTGGCTGATATTAATCTAGACCATTTCTCCAAAATGATTCAATGTAATTCACAAAGGGCAACAGCTTAAAGCTCAGTAAGCCACAATAAAGGGCAGACAATATAGAACAAACATCATATGACGCTTTTTTTTCCCCATAGGGTAATAAACCTATGGAATTACCTACCCACTTAAGTTTTAAATGTCAAGACAGGACCGGTACTCCAGTTAAAAATTTAACTGAAGGAACTACTTTGGAATAATGGGGTGGGGAAGCCGTTACCAAGCCACCAGCTTCCTGTCCCCATCATGCCCACTGTCTTCAGGTAAATTTTGGTAAATAGCTCTTCTTACTCCTACCTGGTCTAGCTTGACTACTCTTGCTAGCAGACTTATTTTTTTATTTATTTATATATACAAGAGTTCTTACATTCTTGAACAGCCACTAGTACGCATAGCATTTCGGACAAGTCCTTAATCCTATGTTACCTGGAATACGACCCCACGAAAAATCATTTAACAACCAGGTACCCATTTTACTGTTAAACAGAGACTTCAGTTAAGGATTTGCGCCCTTTGCAGCGTCTCTTCTACTCGCATATAACTAAATATCAAATAAAAAATATACAAATATTCTTGAATAATTAGAGGTACTAATAAATCATAATAATGGAAAACCTAATATGGTTTGGCTACATGTAGGCATCACTCATTCATTTCCTTCCTCCAGATTCAAGAGTTGGCACCATATTTGCTTCTTTTAAAATGCTTCCAAATATATCGTAAACCGTCAAGACATCTCATAACGTGCATCCATGCTTTCTATCCATTTACAAATGTACAAGACAATTTACTATTTGAATCATTCCTTGCAGCGTTCTTCAATAAATTATAAATTATATAAATATATTTTTAAACAAATTCTCCTTCCTCAAAATTTCAATGTCTCTCTAAGCATCCCGTCCTCCCAATAGAACGTTGCATTTTGATGTATACTCTACCCAAGGCCAAAAATCGTCGTACTAGAAAATGGTAGCGGTTCGCGAAATTGACATACGGTCCCGTTTTCTGTTTTGGGTCCTCTGGTAGGTTAGGATAAGGGCACTTTAGTATGACAGTTTCTTGACGTTGGGAAAAATTAGGAGAACAAGGCTGCTCTAAGGAGGAAAGAGCAGGACATCAGCAATGTTAAATAGCCATTTTGATCTTGTTTTTGTATGTACAGTATTGGGCTGCAAATCAAAATACAGGGCTGATACTATTATTATGAAAGAACTCTTCTTATACTCACTTAAAATCCCTTCCTCACAGAAATCTGAATATTATTCATCTAGTTATCTGGCTCACATTAATTTGTTTCCAGATTCTTTGATATACGATACTGTGTATTAAAATTAAAAATACATTAAATTTCCCCTTGTCACCATTTTACTCAATACTCTGCCAACTTCTGTTTTCCTGTGCATTACTGCTTTCCATATACATTCTTTTCTTTTTTATCTTGAAGGGACTTATTTACTTTAGAGTGGATATCACTCTCAATCCTTGTTGGCTTGACATTATTTAAAACTTTTACAAAAATACACACATAATTCACTTATATCACAAAATTCAAGTAACTGTAATTGTACACATGGTTCAGAAAATAATAATAGATTCCCCTATAACTAAACATTAAGTTTAGGTTTAAACCTCATTAGTCAGTGCAGTTTAATACAACTACCTTGCTAATAACCCCAATCCCAAAGGTCTGAACTACTATATATAGTCATTCCATGCAAGTGCAATACAGTACACTTCTTATACTGATTAAATATTATATGTGTATTATTTATACGGAGACACTGGAGGTTTAAACAGTGTATTTAAACATCTTAGCAAATGCATTTTATCTTACCTTAGTTAATGGCCCTAAATAATGCAAAAAAGATAAGTTGCAGGAGCTAGGTTAGAAAGAAGCTTTGTTTTGAATGTTTGGCTGTGTTTCTGGCCTAGACATGTATATTACACAATGAAATCACAAAGATTTGATGATTATATGAATAAGCATTGAAGCCGTATGATGGAATCGAAGCCGTGACCCTGAAGAAGCATGCCTGAGGAGTTCAGGGGTTGCACGATTGATTGCATCGAACAGTCTCAATATATATTCACATGCATATTAGTTTACAAGCGTCTATGTTTGGCCTCGGGATAAGGCATATAATATAATACAGCCAGAAGCCTTTAGCTTATAACCTAATGACATTGAAAAATGCTCAATATTAATAGGCATTAACTGCCATAACTTTACATCATAATGTGCAAGTTCAGCTTGCATGTTAATGGCATCTACTAAAGCATATAAACATATAACAAATATATGTCTGTAAGCATGCACAACTACTGAAAGATTGTTGATGGTGTTAGATTCATCTTCCTGCTCGCTGTCAAAGCAAGAAGCTATATTATATACAACTTACTTTTTTTGGCATTCACAGCTTTCTTATCTAAAAAAGTAAATATTATACAGTTAGTTAAGGGTAATAAGGAGTATTGTATCTCATCATGAGAACATCTTTCACCAAGCAAGATGTCCGTATCAAGTTAAAATGCACAAAAATATAGTTATTAAATAAGTACTGACAAAACAAACTCATTAAAGCATTAGTATAACCAAGCATTGATACATTAAACTGTTGTAGCATTCAGTTAAAGGACTTTAGTGCATATTATACATTCTACCTTGTAATGCCAAACAATATACATTACACAACAGCTGTAAACAATATACATAAGCAAGAACTTTTATACAAAATAACAAATAAAATCACCTGTTAAGCAACATAAAACAAAGAATTGAACTTCAGCTTTTTTTTTTGTTAGTTGAATAAACAATTATTACATCACCCTTTGTGTGCTGCTTTCACATGTAAATAAATTTTAAGTTATTTAAGTGTGTAAATATACTTCTCTGGTTTAATTTGTAAGCAAATACAGGTATAACTTTATTCACTGCTCCTAGTCAATTGCTGCATCACAAAATTGCTAAAATAAAACTGATCCAATCATATGCACAAACTTTATACATACCCGAGTCATCCTCATATGGTGCACACGACTTCTTTTCATCATCATTGTTTTCTTCACGTGAACCATCAAATCCAATCATGTCAAAATATTCTCCTTTACGGTCTATAAGTTCAGCATGTGTACCACGTTCTGCAATCTTTCCTCCTTGCATAAGAATGATCTCATCACACTTTTCCAGGAACTGAGGATGAAATTAATTATATATTATTAAATTATATAATTAATTATATATTAAATTAATTATATATGTCTATAGTAGGTAAGTTCACAGTAACAAATTAGATTACATTGTATATATACAATACTGAAGCAAACTATGGCCTTATTAATATATGTCAATTGTGTTCCTGGAAAAATGGAAGGGGAAGGAAGCTATCAGCAGAAAGTGCCAAGCCATTACAACTATAGAGCACTTGGAATAGATCAGGATAAAGATTTGTGATGGGATGGGTAAAAGAAATGGTGCCCAACCATTTGGACGGTTGGGGGTTGAATGCCAACCTGCGTGAAGCAAGGTTGTCGCTCTATCATCCAAATTAGCAAATAAATTAAACAATATACGGGAAAAGTAAGGTTATGTACCCAGCTGATAAGCAGTGAAAGTTATCAGCTGAATGATATTGGGCTCAATCCCCACAGTAAGGGAAAAGTGTTTGGGCACTATTTCCTATCACCTAATGCCATTATTCACCTAGCACTAAATAAGTATACTAGACTTGGGCAACTTTTGTGTGTTGCATAATCCCGAGGAAGGTCATTAGTTAGCCTAGGATGACCTCGATGGGAACCCTAGGATGAACTATATCCTTATTTGAAATAATGTGGATTACTGGCAAAGCCTCAAACATTCAAATGTTTATTCAGGGAAAGTACATACATACAAGGGGTGATACAAATATTGCTGAATTTATAGATAGAGCTAGTACATACAATGCCTAAAGCCACTATTACGCAAAGCGTTTTGGGCAGGAAAAACACAAGACAAACTTAATACTAATTGAGATTAAAGTATAAAATGTGTTGAGACAATATAAAAATAATATTAAGATATTAAGCTTATCAGGCTAACAACATGGTAATCTAGACATGACAGGTCTTATCTCCTTGAAACTTTAAAATTACTGAACAACTTGGAGAATATTGATCCAGACCACTTCTTCAAAAGGTCTGATATAAAACAAGGAGCAATGGATTTAAGCTCTACAAGCCACAATGTAGGACAGAAAACAAGAGAGGCCTTTTCAGCCATACGATTATAAACCCATGGACCTACCTACTCGCCGAAGCCATAAATGCTAAAACCCTGCTACAATTTTAGATCCAAATAAATAAAAATCATCAAGATAAATAGGGAGGGGACCTTTAACAAGCTTCCAGCTTCCTGTCCTTATCAAGGCCACTAGGTAGTGTGTGGCCCTCAGGAAATTCAGGCATAACCCTTAATGGAGCAGAGTCTGAAAACTATTTGATGTCAGCATGGCCACTTGTTAAGTATGTAGATAGTGACCTACCTACTATACCTAATCACACAAAGCCTATGTTTACATTAATGATTTGCACTAACCTTAATATATACATGAGAATAAATGCCAACTGCCATGAGGTTCACTAGTCACCCCTCTCATTAATATTTGTCTAAGAATAGGTGATGTCAGGTTGCAATTGTTGGTGAGTAAACACAGGTGGGGATGAAGTGCCCAAGTGCCAATCATGCGTCCAGCATGAGTGGACTGCTACTGGGATGAGCATACAGATGAGTGGCTGAAACTTAAGTGCTTAGCAATGATGATGATATTTTGGGAACAAAGTTTGATTCTCCAATGACAATGAAGAGCCATGTGATAAACTTAACAGGCAAACCCACCAACAAATTTCCAGCACTAATTTGCATCTCATGCTAGAACTATAGCAGTTGGAAAACCTTGCATGAAGCACAAGTTTGCTTGCCTCTCAACCATGCACTACTCTCTTGGATGGTCTGCTCACTATTCTCTGACTTCTGGACAAGGTCAAAAACATGCTATACAAAGAAAAAGTTTGAAAAACTAAACCAAAAATTGCAAAATAGCACTTAACTCATTTTAGCCCTTACAATTAAAGGAATATAATGTTTTATTATATACTGGAAAACAGTACAGTATTTGCTATACTGTATCTTAAATATTTAGGGGTCCCAGTAGTAATGTCAGACTCTTTCTCGACTTTTAGTCTAGAATCCTAGGATCGAATCCTGGGGAGTCAAAAATGGTAGGAAGAGTGTCCTATCATCTCATGCTCCTATCCACCTAGCCGTAAATAGGTACCCACAAATGAGAAAGGGAATTGTCAGGGGAAAGCACCAAGTCATTATGACTATAGCACACGGAAGGGGTCAGAATAAGAATTTGGGATGGGACCGGGTGGGGGAAGGAATGGTTCCCAACCAATTGGACGGTCGGGGATTGAATGCCGACCTGCATGAAGTGAGACCGTTGCACTACCGTTCAGCCCAACTGATTGGGCTAGGTACCCAGGAGTTAGTCGGCTTGCTGTAGGGCTGCATCTTGAGGAGGGTCAGTATTTCGACCCTGGGGAGGGGACATACAAGCCTAACATGTACATATACAATGGCTGCCTGTCCCGGACACAATGAATTATTTGAATTATTAAATTATCACAGACATAAAGCCTGTTAGTCTTATCCACAATGCCATACCTACAACACAGCAAAGAGAATAAGCATATTGTGAAGTGACACTTACATGTGTCAGTTCACACTGCACACACACTTAATACAGGCACTTACATGAGTGGCATGGGTGACAAGAATGACTGTCTTGGTAGCTAGTGCTCCTTTTATGCAGTTGTTGAAGATGTGCTTAGCAACTTTTGTGTCCACAGCACTAAGAGGATCGTCCAGTAAGTAAATCTCCCGATCACTGTACACGGCACGACCCAGGTTTACTCTCTGCTTCTGACCACCACTGGAACAAAATTAGAATATTAATAGGATTTATATACTGTACAGTAAATAAAAACAAGTACAAATTCATTATTTAGAGCAAAATATATACAGTAATTACATATTTTATAGTACAGTACTGTACATATATTTAGAGGCCATTCCACCATCTGAACTTCCAAAAATTAAAGAGTTTGATTATTATTTTTCAGTCATTTTTTAAATTAAATATTGGGGAAATATTTAAACAATATTTCAGGACCATCGTGAGACTCAAATTATAATATTGCAGCAGTTGAGTGTCCGTATTTCAAGCAACACAAATAAATTTAAAGAGGTGCAACAACATGCTTCTAAAGGGATTCTGGACCTAAAACTAAAGCTATGAAGAGAGGCTGGAGACATTAAATATACAAAATTTAGTATATAGAAGGAAAGTAAGATAGTATACATGATTACATACAAAACAATGTTAAATTGAATACAGTAAATTGAATACAGCGTGTGTGTTGAGTGCACACACTTCAAGAACATGAAGACATATGTTCAAACTAAGGAAACAAAGTTGCAAAAAAAAAAAATAAAAAAAAATTATAAGTTCACTTTTGCAAATAGAGTGGTAGTTGGAACAAGCTGAGTGAGGTGGTGGTGGAGGCCAAAATTATTAGTAGTTTCAAAGCGTTATATGACTGCTAAGAAGATGAGACACCATGAGCGTAGCTCTCATCCTGAACGACCCAATCCCATGAACACTGAACCATAGATTCAAGATAATTAACCAAATAGTAACAAATTTATTTTACTATTCTTTTGCAAACAGAGTGGTACACAGATGATATAATAAAATGGGAGAGAGTTGATGCCGAAACATTTTCAAGTTATGAAAGATCATCTGGAAAATATTATAGGGAAGACAATATCACAAGCATTACTACACTTAGATAATTACAATATAGTAAGTATATGCATAAACTGCAAATTAATCTACAGTGTGGATTTTGTCCAGATTTAGAAACCTCGCCCATAATTTTGGCTGAGTTACTCAATAATTTGAGTTAGTGCAATTTGAATTGGTGCATGATCAGTGTACTACAACTCAATCATAAAATAAATTTCTCAAAATGTACACAGGACAAACAAAATTAGAACATCACCTGAGATTAATGCCCCTTTCTCCAATCTCTGTCATTTCTCCATTTGCCAAAAGATCTATATCAGATATCAGAGAACACACATTGAGGGTCTTTTTGTACTTTTCAGGATCATAGGGCTGACCCACCAAGATGTTCTCTCGAAACGTATCATTGTAGATCCATGCCTGCTGCGTCACCAAAGCCAGCTGCCCATTCACTTGTATACTCCCACTGTTTACCTTCATCTGTTTAACAGATATTTTGCATTATTACTTCATCTCTAGATAACGAGTTATCGTTTAACCTTTCAAATCAAGTCAATACAAAATTGATAAAATATTCAGTACAGCTCTCCAAGCTCCTATACTAATTGATATAGACTAATGTGGGGTACAGTATTTGTAAAAATGTTTGTCAGATGCAGTTTATATGTAACTTGAACCAATACATTTTTTTTTATCAGTGAATGCATGGTAGTTAAGAGAAAAGTAACAGAGGCCATGATAAAAATTATTATGTGCTAAAACTACAGATTCCCTAATAAAAGTAGCTCATGCCTTTCATCGATAAGTGCCACTTAAATATTGTACATCATTTGCTAAATTTCTTTAACAATTCATAAATTTTAGCTTACTTCTTGTTTAATATTAAGTATTTATCCCAGTGAACCCCTTAAATAATTTAACTTTATTATAAGTTAAGCCTAAAATGCTTTGCATGCTAGTGGCTCAATTAAATATGCATTTATCAAACTACTGATTTAACCACTGTATCATGTTCTCCTGTATATTTTGAAATAAAAATTATTATTATTATATGCATATATCTTCCTCATCACCCAATATACATGTCACGGATTATCATACATGTATTGCATACTTGGATTTCCTATAGAATTTTAATGAGCTATAATTCTGAGTGAGAAAAAAGTCTTACATCACCACAGATAGCAGATATCAGAGAACTTTTTCCAGAACCTATGCTTCCACAGACACCAATAAGCTTGCCACGTTCGACGGAGAAGTTGATGTTGAAGAGCGTTTCTATATTCTTCACCAAATCTGTGTTGTCTCCTCCCTTTGATGGGTTGTTTGTACCATTAGTTTCTCCAGTGGCAATGTGACCATTTACACTGGGAGTTACTCCATTGGCAACACCATTCTTCTTGGCGTCATCTGTAATGAATGTGGTGCTCTCTATATAGGAAATTACTGTGCACAGGTATGGGCAATTTTCTGTGATTCCATTCCATTCTGTCAACTTCAAACTTGTGTGAACTATTTTTTAATCTTAAAAATATTATTAAATATGTTTGATATTAAAACAAGAAGTGAAAAAATTGAGAACTATACTTTAGTATTATATATTTACCTTATCAAACCTTTATACAACCTTACTGAATTATTTTCAGTTATGCCAGAAATGCTTTGCATATTATTGGCCTTATTAAATATACATACTTCGCAAAATTTATTAAACCAACGTAAATTATTCTTTTGTATATTTTTTTAAATAATATATTACTATATAAAAGTATTTTAATATAAACTATCATTCATGGGTACCTTACCAGACTTCTTTTTTTCCTTAGCATCTTTAGATGTACTTCCAGAAGGTGCTCCTCGTCCTTTTAAATTAATGTTGTGTACCTCCCAAGCAAAACTTGCATTTTTTATCTGTAATGCTAAATTATTGTTCAGGAGACCTCCTGTGCGTTTCTGATGTTCAGGGAGCTCCAATAGTTTCTGTGAAAGTTAAATTTTTTATTCATTTTGTATATTTAACTGTCCAGCCGGATGGCTAAAACACAATCTTTAACCCCTGCACTGCGCAAATGTTTTTGGCAAAAACTTCTTAGTGCAATTGTCTAGGACATATTTTTGTTGCTTTAAATGTTTACGCAAAGTTAATGTCAAAATGTTTCCAAACTCAACTACAGTACGTATTTCCATTTAAAATCACAATGAAGTCACAGAGTAATGAAAACATTGAAAAAATATTAAAATATAACCTAATTAAAAAAAAAAGCACAACTCTGAGAGCGCCAAAAGGCGCTTTGTGCAGTGCAGTGGCTAGTAAGCTACACACAGCTCTGACAGCACACTATACAACACACACACGTCTCCACTATTAATCCTCTCGCCAACATTCAGTATTCTATCTCACTGGCCACCACCACCACCTCCTCCTCCTTCTCCTCCCAATTCTATTATATATAACATTGTAGTCACAAACTGTACTATACTTCCTCAAATATGACCTAAACATTTAACTCGTCATTATTTAACCATTTCAGTAATAAACAAAAGCACCAATGATGCACGAGTTAGTGTGATTAACTTGATACATGCAGCTCTTGACAAAAATGAGTACCCTGTAGGTTTATTTATTGACCTTCGTAAGGCTTTCAACACTGCTAAACACAATAATCATTTTATTAAACTGCAACACTACTGGGTAAGAGGTCACTCCCTCCACAATACTTGTAGTCTTACCTTAGCGACAGGCTTCATTATGTCTGAATAACACTCCTTATCTCACCCTATCAATTAATGACGGTGCTCCACAGGGAAGAATACCTAGTCCTCTCCTCTTTCTCCTTTACATAAATGACCTTCCAAAAACTCCATTACTCAAATCAATTCTATTTGCTGATAACCTTCATTTTTTCCAGTCCAAACACACTTATTCTGAATGACAGTGAATACTGAATATAAAAAAAAAGTGTCTTTTGCTAACTGCTAATAAATTCACCAATAACATTGATAAAACCTATATTTTGTTTGGTAATAAATCCACTGATCAAATTAACCTAAGAATTAACAATATCCAAATTAGTAAGAGAGTAGATGGTAAATTCCTAAGAACTACCTTATCGCCTTTATGTAACCTAATTTACTTCCTAAATGTCAACCAATGTTTTGCCATTATTGAACATTAATTACTGAACCTGTGCTGCCGCTATCTGCCATGTAAAAAATTAATAAAATATTGTATTCCTTCAGTTCATTCTATATAATTACTATTTGTTACAATGTTTGCTGCTGCATCCATAATGTAATAATTATTTTATTTTCTCTTTCTCTACTTCAATTCACTATTATTTTTTATCTCATTTAATTTTAAGACTTAAGTTTTTTCTCACTTTATGCCTGTAACGCTCTGTATATTTGTGGCCTTGGGTGAATTACTTGCCTATCTATGAACCCACCAATCTGCTTGTATCCTATGTATGTATATGTGTGTGTGTGTACTTTTTCCTAAACAAAATGTTTATGGTTTTTTGTATGTTAATGCAACCGTTAATAGTGTCAATTTGTTACATATACAGGCAGTCCACAATATATGAACATCAGAGATAAATATCTCTAATATTCCCAGAGTCAAACTAAATTCACACAAACACACAATCAAATAAAAGGATCCAAAATATGCAACTCACTCTCAAATGAATTAAAAAATTGTCCAACCCATACTTTACTCAAAAGTAGAACAATGAAGGACCTAATTTCATCTTCATAATATCCCATCCTGTACTATTAACTTGCACAGTATCTTATGCTACTAACTTGCCTAGTATTTTACAATCTAGGAATGCAACTTCATCAGTATAATATATTTTATCACCACTTTATGCAGATATGGTATTTATATACCGGGTAAATTCAATTTCTGTTACTATGTCATTTCAGTTTTGTGTAACCTATCATTACACCTTTTTCTTTTGTTCAGTACCGAATATTTCTCCCCTTTTTTGTTTAGCTTTAGGACCTACCAAAAATGCTATGCATGTTAGTGATTTTGCAAAATTGTACCATTTAATCACCAATGCATGTACTCTCACAACCTATTGTATCCCCTTGTATATTAAAGAAAAAAAATATGGTACTGGGTTATATGGATTTAAAATTATGTAGATGAGCACATTGATACTGTGCAAAGTTTAAAAGTGTAAATTTCAGAGCTGTGTATGATAAGAAGAGATAAGGGGTTCATGATCTGCACTAATCACTGGGTCTACAGCCTTCATACCAGTGTCTAGCTTCACACCCAATACTGTATTCCAAACTTTTGCAAACTTTGTGCGTTAGATTTAGCATAATAATGAATTCCAACCATTCCGTACTTTTATTTTATGCTGAATTTGTGGCTGCAAAGTGGAAGGAGTATTATATTTGATTTACAATATTTTTGCAGGAAAATAAATGCCACAAAAAATTGTGGGCTACCTGTACAGTGTCATTCCAGTGAAATGACTCATCTTTGATGATACTGCAGCATTGTTCTGCACTAACTGGGGACTCAATATGACATCACTTGGGCTGGATGGTAGAGCAACGGTCTCGCTTCATGCACGTTGGTGTTCAATCCCTGACTGTCCAAGCGGTTGGGCACCATTCCTTTCCCCCTCTCCCCGTCCTATCCCAAATTCTTATCCTGATCCTTTTTAAGCGCTATACTGCATAGTCGTAATGGCTCGGTGCTTTCTCCTGATAGTTCCCTTCAATATGACATAAGCTTACTATGACAAGTGTGCAAAACCAGAAACATATGTGACAGGCAGTAAATACAAAAACTATATATCATATTAATGCTAGATTGCAGGAACAATAAATAATTTCTTAAATGATGATAACATTATATCATTGCTAGAAATAAAACATTAAAAAAATTCTTTTACCTGAATTCTGTTAAGAGAGATTCTAGCCTCTGCAATTGATCGGACAGTAAATGGAAGGACACCAACAGTGAACTGCATAGCGTTGAAGACAGAAAAGATTGTAAAAGCCTCGGGGGCTTTCAGTGGATAACCTGGCAAAGGAAGCATTAATCGTAAACACATTAGCATATACTGTACATGTATATCAGTTTAAAACGTATAAATTGCAAGACAAAGGCACTCTTAATATTGCAATCACATTAATGAAAATTGTATTCAACTAGTATTATATATTCTATGATTTTTTTTTGTTCAAAGAATTCTGCAAAACCAAAATTTAATGTGTAATAAGTGTTGGGTATACACTAAAGCAGAATAATGCTCCTCAATACCTTCCCATTCAGAAATCTTACAAAGATATTAATTTCTTGAACTGTAAGAAAAGCCTGTATCTCTTTGTGTTTGCCATTTTCTTCATTATTTAAATTATCAGTCACGAAAAAAACTTGGTAATATGGTCTCACTTACCTGAGAAAGTATATCCAAGAAAAGTGAGTATGGTTGCTAGGATACTAATACTTGGCGTCACTGTAGAACTCACAGCTTGGAGTAATGCACCAATACGATGTTTCTTTAACTCTTCTTTCCTAATTCCTGAGAAAAATGTAGCAAATATAGCCAAATGGTAAAAATTGTGTTAATATGATGAAAGCCTATTATACAGAAAACACCTAGTGAAGAGGAAGGATCTCAATTTAATCAATGCTAGCCACTGAAGCTTTTTTTATTAACAAGGCATGAGTGCACAAATGTTTTCTTATATTCCTGAAGAAAACACAGTGCCAAAATCTTGAATAAATGGAATAAACTTGTTTTCTTTACAACTTGTTCGGTCTATTCCGAGTCGTCAAGCATGATGTTACAGTAGCGTATGTGCTAGCTCTACGTCATCTCAGTTTAAACAATAAGAATAGTTCATGAAGCTTCAAATTACCAATAAGTATTACCACCACCAGCACCCCAATAATAACAAACTACCCATACGTCAAACTTGCACAACAAATACAGAATATACAAATGATTTGTTTATAATTTAATTCTTAGAGACAAGGAAATTAGACAGAAAAATTATGGTTACATGAAAACTTGTAATTATTCAGAGTATGTACCGTATATTGCTCATAATGCAATTTTTCTTGTAGAAAATGAGAATGTAAAGTACCCTGTAATTGAAAATTTGAACAACGCATATTAGAAAAAAATGCTAAAAAGTAGACAGGGACTAAAGTTATGATGGTGGAAGAGAGAAGAGGGAGGGAAATTACCAGAGTGTGTGTGTGTGTGTGTGTATAATTAGAATGAAGAGAGAAGTGCAAGATGCATTCACCTAGTTGTTCTTGCGGGGTTGAGCTCTGCTCTTTCGGCCCGCCTCTCAACTGTCAATCAACTGTAACTAACTACTAACTAATTCCCCCCCCTTCTAACACACAAACACCCCCAGAAAGCAGCTCCGTAACAGCTGTAACTCCCCAGGTACCCATTTACTGCTAGGTAACAAGGGCATCAGGGTGAAAGAAACTTTGCCCATTTGTTTCAGCTTGGCCCAGGAATCGAACCCAGGCCACAGAATTACGAGTCCTATGTGCTGTCCGCTCAGCTACCAGACCCCCCCCCCTCCTGTGTTAGACCAGTTGAAAATATTGGGGATGTGTGAATGACCAAGAGGTGCATGCATGTGTGTCTGTGAAGGTACAGCCAAAAGTCGGAGAAAAGAAGTGGGCTGGTGCAATAAAAACAATGGTTAGGAAGTTTGAAGAGAAATGTAAACTAGGGAACTTGAAGACATACAAGATGAGAGATGCTGCTGCAGCATGAAAATGAAAAATAAACAATTTAGATCAATATAAATGGACAACCTGAAATTTTGCGTGGTGCTAGGAGAATAGATATAATAAAAAAATGAAAGTATCATAGAAAGAAGTCATATAAAAGTTTTCAAATCATAGACTGAGGAGAGTATTCCGAGGTGTTTTGGTAATGTTGTAAAAATGGATGATGATAGAGCGGTGCAGAGTGAGTACAACATTTGAGTGATGCAGAAAAATGTAAAATAAAAAGAGGACCTAAGAGCTCTAAATTTGATAAAGTTATTACTGTACAGTACAAGCAAAATACTGTTTTCACTCGAGTCAACCCCTAACTGTTTGTAATATATTACTTTTGAGCTAGCTTGCATATTTAGTTCATTTGATAATTTAAAGTAAAATACAGTATGTATTTAAAAGCACTGCAATTATTCTGTTATTCTTTATATCTATCATTATCTGTTTCTGTGAATTACTTTGAGTTACTGAAATAGTCTCATATTTCTTGGGTCTGAAAATGAAAATGAGGGGAAAGGCACAGAATACTATCCTGCTATTCCACGATGAAAATGTAAAATTTTAAACAATAATAATAAAATAATTTTTCTGCAATAATGCAAGCTATCCCACATGAACATGTAACAATAGTTAATTGCTCACAAATATTAGCACAATAAAATTCTAAAATAATCATGCATGAAAGGAAAAAGCCCTTGGTATCAAAGCAAACCTGATATCTTTTTGGCAAAGGAATCTTCCCAGGAGTACATCTTGATGAGACGCATGCTGTTCAGGATCTCGCTCATAAGGGCCACCCTCTTGTCCGTGACCTTCACCGTTTCCACACGCACACTACTCTGTGCTTTAGCAATGCCTCCCTGTAAGTGAAAAGTCATGAACTATTCGAAAACAAAAACAATCTGAGACAATAACAAAAATAATCAGAACTGTTTGTCTATAATTGGTGCTAATTTTTTATATAAAATATTTAAACTATAAACAATTTAGCTTATGTGTGAAAACAAAAAGAAAATACACTGTAAAAATAACCAGCGTTGAATGTAATGAAACCCCATTTTCTGGGCGAGTCCCAGAGGCTTCCCGGAGCTATCCAGGCTGAATGAATATGTATAACTTTCTGGCATCAGTCAATGCATGGTGTTCTTGCCTACCGGGGATCACGAGCCAGAACATGGACCCCTCTAGAGAGGCACTAGGAGCAATGGTCTATACAGACCCCTCCCTTATGATTGGGAGCATTCTATGTCTGCCATCAACCGGGATAGGCACCCAGAAAGGTAGGCGCTCCAAAAGAAACCCCTATTCTGGTAAACTATTGCGACCGAAGACCGAACAAGTGGACTGAACTCCCCAAATGAAAATTAGCAAACAACCATGACATGTCGCCGTGCCGCTGTCTGCGCAGCCCCTCCCCTCCCCAGGAGGGGGAAGGGGGGAGTTCCAGATCCCACCATCGGCGACCCAACCGTTAGGTCTTTAGGTTAGGTTAGGCCAAAGTTATATTGACTGATCTACATTTAAATTCTTTTATTCCAAAGTAAATTCTCTATGTCAGTGGCAAAAAATGCTGTTAGCTGTCTCAGCTTGAGTTATCTTTAGAGAATTTTGGGGCTTAGCGTCCCTGTGGCCCAGTCCTCGACCAGGCCTCTTTTTTGCTACACACCCCCCAGGAAGCAGACGTGGCCACACATTTACAATGCTAACCAGCATATATACATTTTCTTCTGTCCTCCATGGACAGAGTGAGAGAAGTGTTAAACATACAGTTCAAGTGTTTATTGAACACTCAACCACAGAAGGTGATTCGGTGCTTTTAAAATGCTAAGCTAACCTACATACGTAAATACATAGATACACAGATTTACGTATGCCCTACATAAAGTATTAGATGTGTCTTTTACATAGTGTCATTAATGTACATTCACAAAGGTGAAATGTAATTCTGATCAGCTTCCATATATGCTTTATACCCATACATATACATACACACACACATACACATACATATATACACACACACATGCATTCACATACATTTGTCTCATTTACCCTGACAGGGTGAGGTAGCTGATAAAGAAACTAGTGTGCAATTAAGCACTTAATCACAATTAAGCACTTAATCACCAAGGCAGTGTACGAGTTGAAGAGCTAGGCTAATGGCCTTAAATCGACCCCGTATACACCTTGAGAACAAGCTGCGGATCACAAACCATCATGAAAGCAAACATATCAACTTACCATTATTGGGTAGAAGAGAATATAGATCCCTTGGCCTAGGAGAGCCCAGGGACCCAGGATGTAGACACAGTACACCACACTCAATAAAAATATCACAGGCATGGCTGGAATAACAAAAATTTAGAAGTTAATTAACAAATCATTAATTACAGTATATATACCACAGTTTTAAATCTTTTACAATATTTGTATACTGTATTATGTGCATTTTTTCAATCAATGATGGTGGATATAATAGACCATATATTCTAGGAACAAAATTATATCGAGAACTGTACTGTAAATATCCCTTGCCTGTAAATAATAAGAACTGTAAATAGAAGAACATATTAAACCTTTTCTGTTTTTAAGCTAATTATTGACCAGACAGAATAAAGGACATTAAGAAGAACATGAAGTTTGGTAGTTTGGATGTCATCTCAATTTACTGATGTTACAGCTGACAAAACCTTACCTGGAGTATACCTGAAGAGGCTTTTACTCCCCGAGCCCAGCTTGAGGCCAGGCTCACCTAAGATACAGAGGTACAGATACCTCGGAGATACAGAGATAGGAAAAAATTCCTCTTCACTGCAATGATTTCATTTATGCAAGTACTAGAACTCTTCTTTGACTATTTTATCGACAAATCAGCATGGCAATGGGGGTCTTCAATCAGTTCTGTGTTTGCCAATTTATTATTGGAATCACTAAGTGGAACTATTATTCAGCATCATCCCTGGCGTAATTTTAATAACCGATTATGAAGTACAGTAGTATCAACTATACATTTTACACAAGAGAGAGAGATACAATAGTCTTTGACACACTAATAATAAATGATGGTGATATGCATTAGTTATATAAGTCTATAGGAAACCTCCCTACAAAAGCAACATTGTTCACTTTTATTCTTACCATGATACCAAGTGCCCAACCACTTGGACTGGATGGTAGAGCAACAGTCTCACTTCATGCAGGTCGGTGCAGTTCAATCCCCGACCGTCCAAGTGGTTGGGCCACCATTCCTTACCCCCAGTTCCATCCCAAATCCTTATCCTATCCTGATCCCTTCCAAGTGCTATATAGTCGTAATGTCACTTCCAAGTGCTATATAGTCGTAATGTCACTTCCAAGTGCTATATAGTCGCTTTCCCCCTGATAATTCCCTTCTTTCTCACCATGATAACATAAAATGAGGAACATTGATTGGATTTTTAAGGCATTTGTGATTTGCGGCCAGCCATTCCTTGAAGACGAGTGCAAATACTCAATACCCTACAATATATATTTCTTTAGAGAATGCAAAAAAGCAGCCAATGAAGATCAATAGCAATGAAACCATCAAAACAGAACCAGAATTATGGCTTAGTATCACAACAGGATGGGAATCAAACATTAACATTTGTAATAATACCAAAAATAGGTTTCCTGCACACAACATACAATACAATCAACATCCTCATTGGAAGCAGAACTAACAACAACAACAAGGTCACCCACAAGAAGGATTTACACTTATACACTGCAGTAGCTGTAAAAAGTTAGCCCATCTTTATGTTTGGATAGTACTTATAGTAATGATGTGGACCATCGTACTGTATATAAATTTATGTAATGGGCAATTAGAAAGAATTTAGTACAAATGAATTTGGACAAATGGGAAAAGGTTTTGTATTTATGTTGCTAATAAAACTAAACCTAACCTATATGCACAGAAATCACAATAGCGTGATACATCAAATGAACAAATCCACAAGGGCCGTGATGAGGGTTCGAACTTACGTCCGGGATGGTCCCAGACGCGCCTTAGTCGATTGCGCCACGAATTGTCCGTGATGTTCGGACCCTCATCATGGCCCTTGTGGATTTGTTCATTTAACCTAACCTAACCAACCTAGGCCTAATACACTCTGAGGCCTAGTATAAAACAAATATATGCTCTACCAGGCCTAGGAATATCTAAGTTTAGTTTTTAGCTTAATTTTTTTCTGGACTCTATAAAGCAAATAGAGTTAAATTCTAATTTCTAATTGTCCATTACATCAAGATTATATTTATATATATATATATAAATAAACAATGGTCCACATACCAAAAAAAAACACAATTTAAACAGGAGGATGGTTATAAAAAGTATATGTCTATGAAATATTCAGAACCTTTAATGTTTGGATTTATGAGCATAAGTTGAAGTCTCCAGCAGATATTATCAATGATGTTTATCTAAAACACAACAACCAGGAGCAGTGTCATCCATTTTATGAAGATAAACTCATCAACAACAAAAAACATTTGAAGGACCAGATGTGATCAAATCACAGCTTGCAAGAGAATGAGAAACAGTTTTTCCACACAAAGATTAAAGAATACGGACAGAAATTGTAAACACAAATAAGTAGGAGAATTATCATATGGCATGATAATTGTCCAGGACAGACTGTCCTGGTCTGTTGATGACGACATTTTGACGACGATATGCCATTGTTTCTTCACTTCCTATGTGATTTGGCCATCATAAGTAGGAGAACTACAAGTAAATACTTGTATTCAGTGTGGATTGTTAACAAATGGAAGATGCCTGAAGCAGAAAATGTGGAAGCTTCTTCAATTCAAACCTTTATATTTAAGTATGGTGTAATATTAAAATGTTGAGAGAAGTGTAAAAGTATCAAGGTACAACAGCTAGGAGGTAGGGCCTCTGACCTACCTCTTGCATGCCATGGATAAAGTTATCTAAGTATTTATTGCTAATCATCTAAAAAAAAGCCAAAATAAGTTCTGCAGCAATGAAAATACAGTATTTGAATTCAAATAAGTTTTGGACTATGATTTAACTTCTGAAGGAAGCTAGCTTAACCTTAAAAGTAGTCCAGAGCCCCAAACCACTGGCATTTGTCTGTACGCAGACAAAATCAACATACTGCATCAACATTATTAACAGGCTTCTGGTAAATATTAACTAACATACCAGTTATGAATACGCAAGAAATGCAGGCCTCAAAGAGTCTTTCCATATCATTGTTGCTGAAATTAATAATCTGTGCTGAAAGCCGTTCACCACCTGTTCTTAGTCTCAGGACTTTCTTGTACATCAAAGCTTGTACAGCTCCGGTCACTCTTGTTGCTGAAAAGAAAAGTACACACTATCAAGGAATGTACTATCCTCTTGTAAGACGTAACAGTATCCACAATAACGTGCTACTATGTACTTAATCAAACCAGCATTACATCCCTTAACAAGTTAGGCAATTATATTTGATCAGTATTTAATTTTCTAGCATTAAGAATTAAGAAAATAAGCCAAATTGTACTCACCTGTATGTGTGTTAACTACAAACATGGCATTAAATGCTGAACCTCTGCAGATGTTTATAATACCAATTGCAAGGACAACTAATCCTGCATACAGATTATCTATCTCGGGCTTATCTATATAGTCTAATACCATCTTGAGCATTATTGACTGGAAAAAAGGAATCACAAAATTATACAAAAATGATGTAATAAACAGAAGTCATTTATATCAGCTGACAAATGCATGAACATGTATATCAAGTGTAATTTTATATAAATTTGCTGTACTTCAATACTATATATTCAACAAAATTATTCAACAAAACTAGATAATCAATACCATTAATAAAATTCATATATTTGAAGGTGTAAAGTATGGTGTAAGAAAATCTCAAGGATTCCTATCATTCTACAGCTGATAATGCACAAAATTACCGGTCCAAGGAACTGAAGAATATTCTGTAAAATGGAGATTATCATGCTGACGATGACTCGGGTCCGCATTGATCTCCAGACTGCACGCCACAACTCTGGTTTTCTCTTGCCTTTTTCTGCATTCCATCTTTCGTTATCCCACAATCTCTCCAGACGTTCCGAATTAATTTCTGCACCATCCTCTTCCTGTTACGAAAATAAAAGTTACTACATTAAGATCAAAACAAGTTTACTAACCACTTTTACTTACAATGACAGCTCAATATGGAAGCTTAGCGAGTAAATCCGTAGGAGCCGTGATGAGGGTTCGAACCTATGCTCTGGGTCCTCCCAGGCACATAGGAGTCTATGTGCCTGAGAACAAATTCCTAAAGATTTGCTCATTGATTCATCACAATAGTGTGATTACTTTGTGTATAGAAGCTTAAAACATTCTAATATTGTACAATTTGTTTCAAATGACAAGAACTGTTCATGTGGTAAAATACATGGGCTAAACAAAATACAAATACTACAGTGAATATATCAACAAACCCACATTAATAGTTCTTAACCCCGAGAGAACACAACTGTCTCTGCCATGGGTCACCACAATGCACAACATTTAAAATGTTTGGATAATATTATAATTTTCTCCTTTGCAAAATGGTTAATATTTTAAATTATATAAATAAATTCCATACTTTCTTGGAAATACTGTATGAAATTTTAAATTAGTGTAAATTAGTGTACAGTATTTATATTCTAATATTGAAATCAGTTCCTGAAATATGGATAAAAATACACACTATTTTATGTTTTCTGGTAGGATTCAGTCAAGAAAAAATATGGGTTAATGAAGAAAAATACAAAAACTCTCATATCAATGTGTTATTTAAAATAAATGATTTTGGGGTGCCTGATGCTCCAAAATTCTTCCAAGCAATAAAGTTTTGTGTACAAGAACAAGGTTTATAATATTATTGTGTAATAATAGACACACTTCATATTTTGGATATGAGATTTGTTTACAAAAGCCACTTTCCTTTCATATCTACAGTGTAATACCGTACATCATATGTCATAAACTGTCGACTAAGGGTTAAAAGCAGCACACAGTCACCACATACCTGAAGAGTCCACAAGTCACTCGGTTGAAGGCCTTCCTTGTATGCCTTAAACATTAAGTTTGTTACCCAGCTAACACTAAAGTAACTAAACAGTCCAGCACTATTACTAGGCAGAAGATTTTTGTCTCTGAAAAATATAACAGTATAATTAGAACATGGAGTGAGGAAGATGTAATATGCATCTCCGTATATATACACAGCTTACTTTAATCATAATCTATGTTCGGGACTAAAGTAGACTAGCTGGCCAGTAAGCTTTTGTGAATTTAATAACCAAATCCCATGGGTACCAATAACCACACAAGATCTTTGAGGATTAAATTGCAAGCAATCTAGCCAGAAGGAATACATAGGGACACTATAAATCAACATTCCTGCAAGCACCAGTCAATAACAAAGATATATCAAAAGTACAGAGATGGAATACAGTCCTCCCATACATATTCCTATCAACTGCCTTGTAAAGACAGTACAAGGCGCACGTCACCCTCTCACTTAAAAAATAATAAAAAATTGTTAACCCACAATGATGACTTCAAAAAGAAAAAAAAATACCTTAGATAACACCAACTTTATGACTGACCCGATTCCCGACCAACTACCAAGCCCCTCTTTAAAACTATGCCAATTGTTCATTTATAACAATAAACTTGAGACATGATTTAACTACAGTATTGGTGGTACTCACTTGCGAGTAGGGCGGAAGGGAAGGAGGTGCTTCATAGCACGGCTGTATTTGCCACTGCAGCATCCAGTCTGATTGTGTTCTCTGCCGGACAAGCAAACTTGGGTAAATAACTTATTACAAATAACTCATCACAAGACAATTAAGGACATACCTTACCTTGTGGTGATTCCGGGGGTTAAGGTCCCTGCGGCCCGGTCTCTGACCAGGTCCCCCCCCCCTCCCCCCTGATTAGTGGACTGGTCAGCCCAACCCATCCTCAGACCAAGTCCATTCCATCCAGTGGTCGACCCCAAAGATGCATTCATAAATTTTAACGTGCTTTTCAGTCAAAACCAGAATTTTCTCAAATAAGAATTATGTATTATTATTTTATATTACCATATTGTACATATTTAGACACTGGTTAGATTTGGTTTTTAGATTCTGTTGGTGATTATTTGTAGTACGTTGGTGAAGCATTTAGAACATTGTGGTTCAAAGAAAATTCGTCAGTGAAGCACTTGTTCCGGAAGTGTTCAAACGTCATCAGTTGTGAGTCATGTGTAAACAGTTTTTTCATTCATAAACAGGGGGTTTGGCAGATGCATGGAATGGACTTTGGGATTTTGTTTGGAGGACGGGCTGGTTAATCAGGCTGTTGGATGTGGCTGCTCACAGCCTGACGTATAAATCACAGACTGGTTGATCATGTATCCTTTGGATGTGTTTATCAATCCAAATAACCACCAAACAATATATCCAAATATCCAAGTACAGTATTAAAAAAAAAGGAAAGGGAGGAGGAAAGGGGGGAGGAGAGGGGGAGAGAGGGAGGGAGGGGGAGGGGGAGAGAGGGAGGGAGGGGGAGAGACAGAGAGGGAGGGAGGGGGAGAGACAGAGAGGGAGGGAGGGGGAGAGACAGAGAGGGAGGGAGGGGGAGAGACAGAGAGGGAGGGAGGGGGAGAGACAGAGAGGGAGGGAGGGGGAGAGACAGAGAGACAGACACACAGAGAGAGAATGTCGTGGCATTTGAAATATTCTTCTTCAAGACAAGATCTTTCATGCTAGGTAAAACTCGCTCTCCACATACTTTAAATATTGGTAATAATTAACGGTATTATCCATGTTTTCGATGGTATCAAGGTTATTTCTGCTGTTGCAAAATCACATTTATCTGTTTAATTTAAACTTTATTTAACCAAACAGATTGTAGAATTAAATGATACAGTAGAGTTTATGGGATACCGGGGCACACTCTTTGCGGAAACACTGGCAGAAAAGCGACCACTACACTTGCCACATCCCGGAAGCTGTCCACGGGAAATTATATTGATTATATTATATATATATATATATATATATATATATATATATATATATATATATATATATATATATATATATGCCCTTGTCAATTTACCGTTGTAAATTTACCCCTTGTCGCGAGTTTAAAGTAAACCCATTACCTCGCAGTATGAAAGTCTACGCCACAATAATATACAAGAGCAATCTTCACCAAGAGTTTACAATAAACTTTCCACAATGAAGAGCCTCCCGACGCCCCTATGCCTCCCTCCCCAACCTCCACGCCCCTCTGTACCCCTAACCCCACACCCACCGTGCTCTGAGTGCCTATAAGTAGTAAGGGTAGTAGTAGTAAGTATGGAACTATATTTTCCAGCTCTGCACTCTCGTCAGCCATTAAAGGGAAATGTCACGCCCGGGCAATAATCCATCTCAGATAGCACATGTGATCTGAAGAGTATACCATTATATTGGCGGCGTATACCGGCGTGGCGGCCATAGCTGGTTTTGGAAGGTTCTCGGTATATTCATCCCCCGTCGCTTACTCGGCTCTTGCTCCGTTATCTCCAGACGTTATAGCTCTTCTGCGGTCATTATTATTATTATTATTATTATTATTAGTATTATTATTATTAGTATTATTATTCCCGGGAACTTTGACTCGGGCCTCCATTCTACGAGAACTTAAATCGCTGATTCATTCATGTGTGTGTTCTGTTCCCACACACTTATGTGCGCCCCTCCCCCCCCCCCTTGGTTGTGGTCTCTCACACCTGTGGTCTCCCACACCTGTTGCGCAGCCTACCTCGTTTTTACACACACACACACACGCAAAATTAATGACACCCATTATATATATATATATATATATATATATATGTGTGTGTGTGTGTGTGTGTGTGTGTGTGTGTGTGTGTGTGTGTGTGTGTGTGTGTGTGTCTATATATTGGGTGGATGACGCAAAATTAATGAGAAGAGTTGTGACAGACGAGGATTGTAGGATCCTCCAAGAGGACTTAAACAGGTTGCAGAGATGATCAGAGAAATGGCTACTGGAGTTTAACACGAGTAAATGTAAAGTTATGGAAATAGGATCAGGTGATAGGCGACCAAAGGGACAGTACACAATTAAGGGGAACTGCCTACCTGTAACGATTCGAGAAAGAGACCTGGGAGTGGACGTAACACCTAATCTAACTCCTGAGGCACATAAATTGGATAACGACAGCGGCGTACTCTACACTGGCGAAAATTAGAACTTCATTCAGAAACCTAAGTGAGGAGGCTTTTAGGGGGCTTTACATTGCCTACGTGAGACCAGTCTTAAGAGTATGCCGTGCCATCATGCAGCCCCCACCTGAAGAAACACATAAGGAAACTGGAGAAGGTTCAGAGGTTTACGACGAGGCTTGTCCCAGAGTTACGAGGGATGGGATATGAAGAGCGTCTGAAGGAACTGAACCTTACGACACTAGAGAAAAGAAGGGAGAGAGGAGATATGATAGGGGACATATAAAATACTCAGGGGAATTGACAAAGTGAAAATAGATGAAATGTTCACACGTAATAATAACAGAACGAGGGGACATGGGTGGAAACTGGAAACTCAGATGAGTCACAGAGATGTTAGGAACTTTTCTTTTAGCGTGAGAGTAGTGGAAAAATGGAATGCACTTGGGGAACAGGTTGTGGAAGCAAACTATTCATAATTTTAAAATTAGGTATGATAGGGAAATGGGACAGGAGTCATTGCTGTAAACAACCGATGGCTGGAAAGGCGGGATCCAAGAGTCAATGCTCGATCCTGCAAGCACAAATAGGTGAGTACACACACACAACTATACAGCAGTAAGGAGAGAGGCAGAAAGAAATTTTGAAAAAGGAATAGCGAATAAATGTAAAACAGAACCGGACCTATTCTACAAATTCATAAACAAATTGCAGATAAATTATAATATGCAGAGGTTGAAAATGGGAAACAGATTCATGGAAAATGAAAAGGAAAGGTGTGAAACATTAAACGAAAAATTCCAAAGTGTGTTTGTACAAAATGAAATCTCAGAGAACCAGACACAATAAGAAGAATTCCAGGGAACGACAGAGCGTATAGAGGTGTCTAGAGATGAAGTGGAAAATATGCTAAAGGAGCTAAGTAAGAACAAAGCAGTTGGCCCAGATGGAGTTTCACCATGGGTTCTGAGAGAATGTGCACCTGAGCTCAGCATTCCACTTCACCTGATCTTTCAGACATCCCTGTGTACAGGAGTTGTAGCTGACGTGTGGAAAAAGGCTAACATAGTTCCAATCTACAAGAGTGGCAGCAGGGAAGACCCCCTTAATTATAGGCCTGTATCATTGACAAGTGTAATAGTGAAAATATTGGAAAAAATAATAAAAACTAAATGGATGTAACACCTGAAGAGAAATGATATAATATCAGACAGACAATATGGTGGCTGTGTATCGAATTTACTCAGTTTCTATGATCGAGCCACAGAGATTTTACAGGAAAGAGATGGTTGGGTTGGCTGCATTTATCTGGACCTAAAAAAGGCTTTCGACAGAGTTCCACATAAGAGGTTGTTCTGGAAACTGGAAAATATTGGAGGGGTGACAGGCAAGCTTCTAACATGGATGAAAATTTTTCTGATAGAAAAATGAGGGCTGTGATCAGAGGCAATGTATCGGACTGGAGAAATGTCACAAGTGGAGTACCACAGGGTTCAGTTCTTGCACCAGTGATGTTTATTGTGTACATAAATGATCTACCAGTTGGAATACAGAATTATATGAACATGTTTGCTGATAATGCTAAGATAATAAGAAGGATAAGAAACTTAGATTATTGTTATACCCTTCAAGAAGACCTGGACAAAATAAGTATATGGAGCAACACTTGGCAAATGGAATTTAATGTGAATAACTGCCATATTATGGAATGTGGAATAGGAGAACATAGACCCCCACAACCTATATATTATGTGAGAAATCTTTAAAGAATTATGATAAAGAAAGAGATCTAGGGGTGGTTCTAGATAGAAAACTATCACCTGAGGACCACATAAAGAATATTGTGCGAGGAGCCTATGCCAGGCTTTCTAACTTCAGAATTGCTTTTAAATACATGGATGGCGATATACTAAAGAAATTGTTCACGACTTTTGTTAGGCCAAAGCTAGAATATGCAGCAGTTGTGTGGTGCCCATATCTTAAGAAGCACATCAACAAACTGAAAAAGGTGCAAAGACATGCTACTAAGTGGCTCCCAGAACTGAAGGGCAAGAGCTACGAGGAGAGGTTAGAGGCATTAAATATGCCAAAACTAGAAGACAGAAGAAAAAGAGGTGATATGATCACTACGTACAAAATAGTAACTGGAATTGATAAAATCGATAGGGAAGATTTCCTGAGACCTGGAACTTCAAGAACAAAAGGTCACAGATTTAAACTAGCTTAACACAGATGCCGAAGAAATAAAAGAAAATTCACTTTCGCAAACAGAGTGGTAGACGGTTGGAACAAGTTAGGTGAGAAGGTGGTGGAGGCCAAGACCGTCAGTAGTTTCAAAGCGTTATATGACAAAGAGTGCTGGGAAGACGGGACACCACGAGCGTAGCTCTCATCCTGTAACTACACTTAGGTAATTACACTTAGGTAATTACACACAATACATATAAACAAGCGTGACTAAATTAAGACCCGAAATACTGAACACTACCTTGCCATGAAGTGCAATTAATGCACTAGGTACATCAGCAAGGAAGCCGAGACCCAGGAGCTAGACCCAGCTTCCCCAT